ACTGTCCGTAACTCCAGTCCCAGGGGATCTGACAGCCTCTTCTGACCTCTGCGGGCATTGTACAACATGGGTGCACTTACCTACATGCATTCTATTTATTTTTTTTATTTTATGTCTATGTGTGTATTGTCTGCATGTAGGTAAGTACATCCGTGTCGTGCAGTGCCCTTGGAGGACAGAAGAGGCCATCGGATCCCCTGGACCTGGAGTTACTGACAGCTGTTAGCTTCCATGTGGGTGCTGGGATTTGAACCCTGGTCTTCTACAAGAACAACCGATGTTCTTAACCGCTGAGCCATCTCTCCAGCCCCAAAATATTTTATTTATTATTTTTATTTTATGTGTATGAGTGTATTGCTTGCATTTGTGTAAGTGCACACATGTCGTGCAATGCCTGCAGAGGTCAGAAGAGGGAATTGGATTTCCCTGGAACTGGAGTTACAGATGTTATGGATGGTTGTTAGCTGCCATGTGGGTGGTGGGACTAGAGCCTGGGTCCTCTGCAAGAGCATCCAGTGCTCTTAACTGCTGAGCCATCTTTCCAGACTCTTATTTTTATTTTGTGTATAAGCCTGCATGAATGTCACTTGTGTCATGCAATGCCCAAGGAGGCCAGAAGAGGGCATCAGATATCCTGGAACTGGAGTTACTGATGGTTGTTAGCTATCATTTGGGTTCTGGAAACCACATCCAGGCCCTCTGCAAGAGCTGTCATTGCTCTTAATTACTGAGCATCTCTCAGGACTCCAGTGTGCACCCCCTCCCCGTTTTCGTTTTTTTGAGACAGGGTCTCACTATGTAGTCTTGTCTGGCCTAGAACTCGATATGTAGACCAGGCTGGCCTTGAACTCACAAAGATCCACTTACCTCTGCCTCCTGAGTGCTAGAACTAAAGGCATGTGCCACCACACCAGACCTCTTATTTTTTAATTACATGGATATGTTTCTGTCTGTGTGAGGAAATGTGCTTATGTGTGGAAGTTCCTTAGGAGGCCAGAAGAGTGCGTTGGTTGCCCTAGAACTGGAGTTACAGGCAGTTGTGAAGAGCCAGGTGTGAGTGCTGGGAACTGAACTCAGGTCCTCTACAAGTGCAGTAGGCACTCGGGTTTTATTGTTGTTCTTTTGTTTGTCTTTGAGACAGGGTTTCACTGTATAGCCCTAGCTGACCTGGAATTCACTATGTAGACCATCTCAGGCTGGCCTTGATCTCATATTCACCTGCCTTTGCTTCCTGAGTGCTGGTATCAAAAGCCTGCACCACACCTAGTAGCAGTATGCACTCTTAACTGCTGAGCCATTTCTCCAGCCTCATAAATTTCTAATGAAAGAATCTTGTAAGGTGCCTAGACTTCAGCTACTTACTGCAACATCATATAGTGCTACCTTTAAGGTAAACTTTTTTATTTTTGAGACAAGGTCTCATGTAGCCCAGGCTGGCCTCAAACTCACTATGTAGTTGAAGACCTTGAATTTCTGATCCTCCTGAGAGCTGGAATTATAGATGCATGACACCATACCTGGTTTCATGGGGTGCTGAGGATGAAACCCAGGGCTCTGTGCATGCTAGCAAGTACTCTACCACTGAGTTTTATCCCCAGGTAACTTTTCTAGACAAGTCTGAAATTCCAATTTGGTATATTTTAAAATAGTTGTTGCCTTGGTATTATACATTAAAATATATCCTCACTTTTGGAAGCTATAAATAACAGAGACTTTTCTTTGAAAGCCAGCTAGTCTTTCCTATTCCACATGTACTGCTGGATTTCCTGCTGGGAAAGAGTCTTGACAGTCTGCTTACTTCAGTTATCATAGGGTGGGATGAGCAACCCATTAGGATCCTGAGGGCATTGGTGCACCCTTTAGACAGGGATATGATGAGGTCAGATACCTCTGTCTTGGTTGTGCAGAGGGCTTAAATGGGAAGATACTGGAAGAAGATTAAAAGGAGGTCCTGGCTATTATCTTGGGGAGAACTTTCATTTGTTTATTCATTCTTCCACTCAACAAAGTATGTATGCTAGACAGTTTCTATATATCAATTTATTTCATCTTTACTAAAAACCCTATGAGACAAGTATTAGCAGTCATATTTTAGATGTCATTCTTCATTGAGAGGTATTAAAGGCTGAATAGAAACAAGTTCAAGGTCAAAGGAAAAAAAGTAGCACAAAGAGTAGGTAGTGCAATGGTCAGAAGGTGACCTTGTGTGTGAGGTAGAGGAAGATCATCAAGTCTTGAAGTAAAGGATTGAGCCAGGTATGGTGGCGCACACCTTTAGTCCCAGCACTCGGGAGGCAGAGGCAGGCGGATCTCTGTGAGTTCGAGGCCAGCCTGGTCTACATAGCGAGTTCCAGGCCAGCTGGAGCTACAAGGAGACCCTGTCTCAAAAAGACCCCCCCCAAAAAATTGAGTGATAGCATATGAAATGAAAGAATTGAGGCAATACAGATCTTTGGCCTTAACAATAAGACATTTTTAAAATTTTAACTTACTTTTATTTTACATGTATGAGTGTTTTTTTAAATATATTTTGTTATTTTTATTTTATGTGTATGACTGTATTGCCTGTATGTATGTGAGTACATCCGTGTCATGCAATGCTATGGAGGTCAGAAGAGGGCTTTGGAGTCCCCTGGAACTGGAGTTAAGGACGGTTTGTAGCCGCCATGTGGGTGCTGGGAATCAAACTCAGGTCCTCTGCAAGAGCAGTCAGTGCTCCTACCTGCTGACCCATCTCTCCAAACCCGTGTATGAGTGTTTTGCCTGCATGTATGTAAGTGCACCTGTGTCGTGCAGTACCCT